ACCTAGAGAGTAAATTTTTTCGGTTTCCTAATGTGCTTCTCGTGTACTTTAAATAGATATATAACAATCGTTTTTCTAAAGCAAAATTGAAATTAGTGATTTTTTCAAATTTGAGTTTTTTTTTTACAATATTTGCGACTTTTTGAGCTTAGTGTATGTATATGTTATGATCTATTTGCTGTAGAACCTTGATATTTGGAATATAACTAGACACTTTGAATATGAATTCACCTATGACAAAAAAACTTATGTGGGTGTGGCACATCCGGGTTGAATTACTAATTGTTTACATTTTGGGGCTGGGGCATAACTCGCATAGGATGCGTTTGTTCAAAAAGAGACTTTGCACACAATTACCTCATCCTTTTGGCCAGTATGTATTAACAGCTCAGTTGTTTCAGCTTTATAGTTTCAAAAAAAGGAACGGGTTTTAACATTTGGATATTTTCATTTTTCGATTTTGACCTTTGTTGACTTTTGTTGACCTATTTCTTTTGACCTCTATTATGTAGGAACTTGACATTTGGAACATAACGTAACATTTTGAATATTGATTAACTTATTCAAAAAAATTGAGTTGGGCGTGGCACTTCCGGGTTAAATTACTCATTATTGACATTTTTGGCCAGGGGCATAACTCGCAAAGTATACATTTGTTCAAAATGGAACTTCTTACACAATTACCTCATATTTTGAGCCACTTTGTCTTAGAATTTTGGTTGTTTCCGCTTCATAGTTCAAAAAAAGGAACAGGTTTTGGAAATTCAAAATTTTCAATTTTTGACCTTGACCTTTGTTGACCTTGACCTTTGTAGGATCAAACGTCATTGGCATTGGCTATCTATTTATACTTTTATATTTGCTGTCCTTAGTCAACTTCTGGTTTTATAGTCGTTAGCAATTTGAAATTTTGATGGCGTATATCTCTTGATCTTGACCTTTTTAGGCCTTCTCCTTTACAAGATCAAAGGTCATTGACCTTGGCTATCTGCTGATACTTTCATTTGTAAGGTCTGACGTCCCCTTCCGGTATTAAAATCTTCTAAAAAATGAAAATTTCTCAACTTTAGACTGTTCTTGCGCTTGATCTAATTATCGTCGAAGGTTGATTTTTTCAGGGTCTTTTGCATTTTGCTACATTTGCAAAGTCCCACTCTGTGCCACGTGTGGCTCTAGTTTTTATTGTTTTAAGTTTGACTCTTAGTCTTTATACACATAATTATATCTATATTGTTGTGATAGGTTTGTGTAATGTATTAGTATTATTATTAGTATCTGGTATCAAGCGGGATCGTAACTAGCGCCTTTTCCTGCGAGGCAAAAATCTGGTTAAACTTCAAACGGAAACCACATTCATTCTTTAAATTTTGTAAACAAAATTAATGTTTTTGTCAAATAATTGATAGTTACGGCCCTGTCAAATACCCATCTTCTCTTATAAACATGTGATAATGTATGATTTACGAAGTAATGTGAAAGAGCGGACTAGGAATTAAACAAGTTATTGATATATAATATATATATAAAAAAAAGTGAACAAAATTTTGATCTCACACCATTAAACTTATTTAAAAACAAAATATACTTTATAGGATATCGCCGTTTCCTCTTTGTACTTTTTTAGTGCATTATCTTGGTGTTTATTATATACACTGATAAGAATATCGAAGGACTTATTTTGTTAAGCATGACCGTCATCCGATCTATCTGGGGATGTGACCTTGAAATATTTCTAGCTCTTATTCTATTCAGTATTCTTTAAGCTATTAGCTTTCCTTAATTTTTTTAGGAGGCAATGTTCATATTATTTAATTGATATACAAATATAGATGGAGCTTAACAATTTATTGATGAACATTTTTTTTATAGAGACCGGTGATAAACCAAATACCCCAAAATTGGCTGTTGACGTCGATCCATAATATAGATTAGTATCGAAATACAAAATCAATAAGACAAAACTCACAATTTTCAACCTTTCGTGTTTGCCACTTGTTATTACACAACATGCTTTCTATTTTGTTTTAAGTTTTAGAGGTGGTTTGCTTTAAATAAAAAAAATGTATCACCTGGATAAAAATGTTCTAACGTAAATAATTCAAATACAGAAGGGTGCAACCTTAATTACAAGGCCAAGTTCCAGTTCGTGTTCGCGGCACTAACGTGATTGTCAAATTATAATTCCGTTGATCCTAACTGAAAATATCTACTTGGATATAATATATGCACCAGTATTTTAAAATAAGCTTTTATTGAACGCTGTTATACACTTGTCCCAATCGTGACAAAGTTGGAGAATCCATATTCAGTAAGTTCCATGGTCGTCTTCCACTGCTACTCTGATCACCTCTAGAACAGAACCATGCATATCGCTCTATAGCCCAATGATGCTCTAATTTTGGTACAAGATCGTGCAAAAAACTAATGTAGTGATCGACACTGTTACTAGCAGTACAGGCAAATTCAGTCAACCAGATTCGCTTTTTGAATTTGTTGTAGATCTTCAGTAATGAATCTATCATTTTGTTAGAATCGCAATGGTAGCCATGAACAGCGATTCTGTCAACTCGACATTTATGACATGCCTTAAAAAACCTTTCAAACCATTGAATACACATATCTGGATTATTATCACATCCGTATGGTGCTGGACTGATTAATATTCGGTTTCCAGCTAGTTTCTCTACTTGAGGCCATAGTTGAGCTGCTCTTTCAGGTGTCAAATTAGCTTGATTCTTGGCATTCGGTTCATTAAAGCCTAATACATGTTTCGCATCAGCTGGAATTTTGGCTACATGAAGATATTTCTCACTCCATATCATTGGAACAAACTCTCCCCGCGGGAACTTGGAACAGTGCTTCCAATGGTATTCCTCTCTGCTGTAATGCCAGTTATACCTGTAACAAACATTATTGTTAGACAATCGAGGATAGTTCCGAATGAATTTGTCTCTTAAACCGTAAAAATAAATGGTTTATGCTAAGCTAAGCTTTAGGTCCACAGAAATAGGGAATTCTGCTCCCTAGAACATGATCTACTATTAAGCGTTAACTAACTGAAATCACTTCATTAAAAAGAAATCCTCGAATCTATCCAAAAATCCATCAAATTCATGTCTTTTTTCATTCAATTTTACATAATCTTAATTTTGGACATCGTATATCGAAAATCAAAACAAATATTAACACTTTCTCACCACCATGATGTTCCACTCAAAGCAAAGGTATCACCACATTTGTACAATCTACCACATAACCCGAAACCCTTTTTAGGGGTCGCGATACCGGCAGATGTGCACAATAGAACTAGTAAGAGTGCTAACAGCATTATACTGAATATCGAAACATTGTTGTCTTTTTACCTTATATACAGTAGTTGAAGGGTGAGAATTACCAGCCGTAGATTATAATGAACCATTCAAACGAATCTGGAATATATTCACCTTGGACTCAATAGATAATATGATCTACATAAAAATTGAATGGCTATCCTTCAACTTTTCATCAGTATTAACATCATAATCTAGAACGTTGTCTTCCTTGTATCGACTCCTTCTTTGTAATTTCCACTGCATATATGTCTAATTGATTACATAATTATCAATGATTGGATTCCGTTTACAACATTAACTAGAACGTCACCCTCCTTGCACTCTTTTAGATATTTTTCACAATTAGCATATAAATATACCGACATGACAATGTATACGTTTCTTTTGTAAGAAATTCAAAGGACACCTGTCTTTACTTCTGCATTTGAAGCTTAATAATTATGGTTACGTCTGATTTTATATTTAAACGTTTGGCTGATAAGAATAATGCACATAGAAAAGATATTGTTTCTCTTCAATGGATATCAATCTTCAATTCTTAGACTTTTGTAAAGTAATATCATTCATTAAATAATATGCTTTCTATGATTATAACTTTTACAAATTGCAGAACCCGAAACTCAAGGTCAACGTACCAATGAAACAACGCCAAATATTGTTATGTATCTGGCTTCCAATATTATCATTGATATGTCTATAACTACTATTCAGATTAGAGAACACAAATTAGAACCAAGCCACTGTTTTGTATTTAAAATAAACACCAACAATTATTATCATATTTATTTGTAATTTACTTGTAATCATTATAGAATAACCCCACAGAAGTTAGGGTGGGACTCTTTAAATTTAACAGATTACTACTAAAATTAGGCATAAAAGTTGTTGCTTGCTTATTACGTTGACTAAACCAAGCGTATCTTTCTACAAAAGAAGCTTGTTCTAGAAGAGGAAGAGCAATATTCATAAAATTAATCTGATCTTGACTGGAAACGTTACCATGACAAGCAAATTCTGTTAACCAAATTGGTCGATTAAAATGGGATGATATTTTCCCTAACGATTGGAGTAATTCATAAGGTACACAATGGTAACCATGAACCGCTATTTTGTCAACTCGACAACCCGGACAAGCTTTGAAGAATCGCTCGTACCAATCTATACACATATCAGGGTAAATGTCACAAGCGGCTAGAGCTGGGCTGACCAATATTCTACCCCCTGCTATTTTCTCAACACGAGGCCAGAGTTCAGCACACCATTCAGGAGACATGTGATCCGCTTCGTTGGGTTCATTGAAACCAAGGACGTATTTACTCTCTGGTGGTATTTCAGCATCCAATGTGTCGGCTTCATTAGCTATCATAGGAAGATATTCACCTCTGGTACGTCGTGGACAGTGATATGTTACATCTTTAGTAAAATTATAATGCCAATTGTACCTGGAACAAAATGCCTAATTGATGTGTAAATATTTTATCTGGATATCCTTATGACGGGAAATGAAGTTGAAGGCGATCACATTCGATCTACAAAAATGGCTTGTCAGAGATAAGAATTCTTACTAGCTTTCAGTTGTGCGAATGCTAAATTCAGTTTTAAAATTCTATGGTGGGAGAGTTTGGAGGTAAACATCATAATATTAAAGGTTAACATACCACCAATATGTATTATTTAATGCGTAGGTATCTCCACACTCATAATAATTATAATACATTCCAAATCCTCTTTTATATGAAGAATCCACTCGCTGTTCACATACTAGCAACACTAGTACAACTTGAGCAACGAAAGCCAGGTTCATTATAGAATCGAATCTGTCGAATATACTGTTCTAGAACTTACTTAAATCATATCAGAAATAGTTTTAAGATAAGCGCTTGTGACACAATTGATACAGTGCAATTCATTCATGTGCATGTCACAGTTTAGTTTGGAGTATTCAGTATCTGTAATAGGATTTGGTGAAAATTATTTTCCATATTGAAAGGGTACTCTCCTTCGTCAGTTTTTTTCAAGCAAATTAGAAGTTACTCTGATGGTTTTCTTGTACTGCTCAGCAAAATGGAACGTTGTCGATTTATTTTTATTATAAGAGCCGAATTTTTCTTACCGTGAGGAGGATTCGAACCCACGACACCTAACCGCCTTGAAACACCATTATGTGGATCAGTTAAAAGATGGGGTTGGCACTAACATCTGTTTTACACAGATTTTCTTAGTAAGTAAAACATCTCGGTGCTCGGTATAAGTTTACCTAAAGAACATGTATTGAGGCATTCGTTAAACTGGAGTAAAAAAAGTTCTTGGGTAGACTCTTTAATTCATTAAATGACTCAATAGTGATTATTTCGCATCAAGACACTTTGAACTATTATCGACCTTGATCCACTATTTCTAACTGGAATAACACTCAACACAATTCTGTTTTACGGTAACCTTGATCTCAAAGATAAGAACAAAGTCATTAATCTAGACAAACAGACTTATAAACAGTTAAATAAAATGTACCTAAGTAAGTATCTCAAAGGTCACAACTAATGCCGGGACCATTCCAAGGACAATAATATGTACTACAGACTGAAAACATTTAAATCTTCCATTAACAGGCATTAAATTTACTTACAGAGAGCTCTCAGAATGTAGGAGAGCATATTGTGTTCAAAACAAATCCAGGGGTAGGGTTAAGTTTACTTAAGTTAACGAACCCCATTCATCTAGTTGAGCTAGTTGGAAATAAAATAGGCCTCTTTGGATTCTTTGTAATTTATATAGGCAGTGTATAATTTAATCATTAAAGAAACACATTGATAAAGTGTGCCTTAAAATGTTAATTATCACTCCAAATGCAAATTTTTCATAAAGGGATAAAGCCCTTAAACTATTTTCTTTCCCTCTAACATTCTCAATGCATTTAATTGGCAGCGCCAGCATGGTACGTGCGGTGGATATTTTCAAATATGATTTTTATGGCTTCGGGCTATATAATTTCGTGATAATTGGTTATCAAAATACATTAAATCAATTTGATCCTTCAAATGTTAGGTGTTTGGTGGTGACGATAGTATAAACTTTCATTGTAGGTTTTTGATTACTTGAAGGAGTAAAATAAACACAATTTCAAATCGTATCAAGGACTGTTTGTAATTGGCGAAGATACTGTCAAGGTAAGTAACCCGTCTAGTGATGAAGACAAATAGCCAGCTTATTTTGCAATTCTCAATAATTGGAATTGTTATGCTATATAAGATACAATGAAGGCAAATATTTTTCATTTTTGCAAAAACTATTTGTATTACACGGAATTTTATTCAAAATCTGGTAAGTTTATTTTATGAGTTACTGGAACCACATATTTCGATCGGGAAATCAGAATGGTGAAAATAGTATTTACCTACATGGTACAAAATTAAGATCACCTCTGTTAACCCTACCTACAGTTGGATTCAATTTGGCCAATTTAGAACACTGAACATATTCGACATAAATCACTTTAATACGATGTTAAAATGAATCAAAGTGATCCAAAGCATTGCGGCAAGAATATGTTGGTGTTAAATCTAGGATTAGAGGTCAACTGACTCATTCGGCCTTAAGCTTCATAATTCATCAAATAGAATACATTTTATTTATAGGTTGTTCATCATACCATTCAACATTATGAGGTTATGAACAATTTCTTGACATCATTATCATAAGCTTTCTACATAGCATCAATAATTATTATAGAATGTTCCAACAGATGTGAGGGTAGGACTATCTAATTTCAGTAGGTTATTGCTAAAATTAGGCATAAACGTGGAAACCTCTTTACTTCGTTGACTAAACCAAGCGTATCTTTCTACAAAAGAAGCTTGTTCTAGAAGAGGAAGAGCAATATTCATAAAATTAATCTGATCTTGACTGGAAACGTTACCATGGCAAGCGAATTCTGTTAACCAAATTGGTCGATTAAAATGGGATGATATTTTCCCTAACGATTGGATTAATTCATAAGGTACACAATGGTAACCATGAACCGCTATTTTGTCAACTCGACAACCCGAGCAAGCTTTGAAGAATCGCTCGTACCAATCTATACACATATCAGGGTAAATGTCACAAGCGGCTAGAGCTGGGCTAACCAATATTCTGCCCCCTGCTATTTTCTCAACACGAGGCCAGAGTTCAGCACATCGTTCAGGAGACATATCAGATTGGTTTGGTTCATTGGGTTCATTGAAACCAAGGACGTATTTACTCTCTGTTGGTATTTTGCTATCGAGAGTATCAGCTTCTCCAAATATCATAGGAAGATATTCACCTCTGGTACGTCGTGGACAGTGATATGTTACATCTTTAGTAAAATTATAATGCCAGTTGTACCTGAAAAAAATCATAGACTTTTCATAGTATCCATAGGCTACCTAGGTTCATATTATGAACTGAATCTGCATGTTTTTTTCGTATTTTTATGTCTCTTACTGCACTCGGCATCCATATTCTGTCGAATCATTCTTATTGGCGTTTAATTGAATTCCGGCACAATAACACCGTACTAAATAAAACTGAGTACAATACAAATCAAAGGTTAAGAATGATTGTCCCAGAAGTATTAATATGCATGTGAAAAGGAATCAAGGAAAATACGCAGTGAAGCAATCAGATATGATATGACCTTCTAAACCGACAAATTATAAGAATAATGCCGGTTTACAAAGAATGTGGTTAAAAGACATAGGCTTCATCTCATTATATTTCAAAACTTTTCTATTTACTTTTTAGAAGAAGTCTTATTTTACACAGATGGACTCTCAGTATATGATGATAATATATTGAGCTATAAATTCATAGGAAAGATAACCTACCACCAATATGTATTATTTAATGCGTAAGTATCTCCACACTCATAATAATTATAATACATTCCAAATCCTCTTTTAGAGGAACCATCCACTTGCTGCTGAAATACCACCAACACAAGTTCCAATAGTGCAACAAACACCATGTTCATTTTAAATGTATATTTAGAAAGCGTATATAAAACGTTATATAGTATGAACGAATCAGTCTTATCAAATCATTATTTGTTTGAATAGAAGGTTTAAGTTTCGACATTAGAGATAAGAATAAAAGTGACAGACGGCCTTTCTTTATCTTTAAATCTATACTACCTCTTACGGTGACAAAAAGATTGCAATTTTTAAACTTAAATGAGTTTTTTTTCATCAGTGGACTTAACTGTGTCAAAACATTTCAACAGATTTGCTCTTTTAAGTTTGAGGCTTAAAATTTGATGTCCATTCTAAGAAATAGTATTCTTTTAAAGGGCCAGCATCATAAACACAAGAATTGTGATAAAGTTTCTCCCATGTGCAAAAACATGAATTTTATTTAAATTGAATTTTGTTTTTATATTTATAACAATAGAGAAAATATTCCTTGTTTTGTGAACTTCATTTGGTTAAATAAAGGTGTTTTGGGGGTTTCACAATAAGGTTTTAACTCTGCTTTTAGACTTTATATTCAAAATATATCAAGTAAATTGACACATATTCCCTCTTTAAATCAAGGGGCGTGATGCACCAAGAGTTGGAATTATATAAAAGAATATGTACTAAAAGTCGACAAAAACCAATAGTTTGTATCTAAAGCACTGTTTTTACGACTCACATAAGCATATTTACTCCTTGAGTAAAGTTGCTCATGTAAGTAAAAGTATATCTACTTTGCGTCCGCGTGTTTTATGTCAGGTGTTTTATGTCAGATTTTTTATGTCAGGTGTTTTATGTCAGGTGTTTTATGTCAGATGTTTTATGTCAGGTGTTTTATGTCAGGTGTTTTATGTCAGATGTTTTATGTCAGGTATATTATGTCAGGTGTTTTATGTCAGGTGTTTTATGTCAGATGTTTTATGTCAGGTATATTATGTCAGGTGTTTTATGAATAAATAATGCTTCCTGTTATATTCATGACATTTTGGTCATTTGAGAAAATGTCATCGATGAGGCTTTTTCTACAAAACGCAGGAGAAATGTTCCCTACTTCCAGGGTATGGGATTAGTCCTGGGATTATGTGGGAAGAGGAGTGTGTGGAGGAATCTATGCTCCCAGTACTGGTGGAATACGACTGTGAAAAGGCCTCGAGATGATACAATGTGGATAGAGAATTTACGTATGAGAAAACAAACATCGTATTTTCTCTGTAAGGAAATAAAACCCTATTTGCCAACTAAAGAGTTTTATATCACAGACCCCATCGAGTTGGACCATAAGCTCGCCACAGCTGTCTACTAGCTAGCTAGTTCTGCAGAGTTTCGAACGATTGGGAACTTGAGAAAATGAACTATGCGTTTACACGACCACATATTATACTCCAAGAGTATAATTGGTCATAAGTAAATATACTTTTGCACGACCTCTTGAGGTGAAGTAAAATACTCCTGGAGTATATTTGCTTAAGTAAGCTAAAGCGTTTACACAACCACTTTTACATATGTAAGTATATTTATTATATAAGTAAACGTGGTCGTATAAACGGGGCTTTAGAAACTGTTGTCATTGACAATTGTTTCATTCCGGTTGCTGTAATAAGAGTAAAATCTAAAAAAGGTCTTTTCTCTTCCTTTCTTTCTCACAATAACATTGTGAAAGTTTGAAGTTTAGTATGTAGGATTATATCCACGACACCTGACCAATCCGTATATTGAAAATACATTATTAGTGGCATGTGAATACGAAAGAGGCAAGAGTTTTTGTCATAATTTTATAAAATTAAGTGTGTATAGGTATATGTTCATACAAGATTCAGCATAGTTCAAGGAGTCTTGGTATACCCAATTAATGTGAAATGTTTTTGAAGGCTATAGATGCTTCATTTGTTGTCCGAATTTATCAAGTTTGGTCTGTAGGTATATATTTCCACAATATCTATGAAAAAAAGTCTTTTGTAATACTGTGTCAGAAACAATTCTTTATTATTTAATGCAAATATACTACCAGCTGTTCATATACTTATACATTACTCGTTAAACGAATTACAAAATCACAAATCACAGAGATCAGAGAGATCATGTATCAGCAAGTTTGATCATAATTTAAGGCATTAACTATACAGTCAAGTAACCTAATTTCGTGCTAACCTATTTTTCGTGCATTTCCGGAAATGATTAATAATTTAATTTAATGTGCGACCTCGCGTGACCTCCGCATTTGTTGTTTTGATAAACATGGGTTTTCTCTACTATATCAGCTAGTAGAATGAATTCAGTAGTTTCAAGCAAGGTAAAATGTATTAATGTTTACTTTGACAAATACAAAATGTCGAATTTTGTGTTTTTCTAGACTTATTTATAGATGAAACAATGAACACGAAAATAGGTGACGCATTCTGCCGCCGTTGCCGAGTTGGTTGCTCGTGTAATATGGATCAAAGTGAGGGGTTTATAAAGAAAATCGCAACAAACCAATTTTAATTATTTTGTAGAATATCTGAGAAAACATCTAAGACATAAAAAAAATTTCGTTCTTTTTAACTTTGACTTTCGGTGTTGAATCCTTATATACACGAAAAAAGGTTACACTACTGTACTGTCATTTTTGTCGACAACTTAAACATTTTAAATTTTGTTAATTATTACAAAGATTTTATTATTCTCAAAACCTTTTCCTGATCAAATTTACCAGGACGACTATAGGGTCACTATGTACACATAGAGTACAAAGTCTACTTCATGTGCAGTCCTCATTGTAACATAAATATATTCTGTAAATACAGGTGTTTCAGCCCGGGGGTAATTACCCCCAAGAGGATTTTTGAATTTTTTGCGGGGTTATTGACAATTATAATTTAAGTTGTTTTATCCAGTCCATTTAGAAATAAAAAAAATGCAGGACAAGCCTAAAAAGGGTAAAGGGTGTAATGCAGTCGATCAAGGATTCTGAAAATGGTAAAAGAAGTTGAAAACAACTGCGTATTTAAGGCATTTGTGCGTTAGAATAAATAATGAAAAAATTATACACTATTGAAATAGCCTGTAATAAAGTAGAGAAAATCTTTATAAATCAAGATCAAATTAGTAGTTTTTAAGGCCGTCTTGTTCAGTACATCTTGTAGCACTTTCCCGCAGCTTGTGATAAATTCCACCAATTATATCTTTAAACATAGATGATTCTCCTGTAGCCTCACCACAATCAGTATTTACAGTTTCGTTTTAGTGACCTAGAAAAGAATCAGCCCTGTGTTCAATAAAGACAACACAGTTTTCTTACAACGGGAATTTAACGGGAGTTAATTAATCATTAATTAATTAGTCGATTTCCAACTGTCGATCTTTCCAGGCTACTGGCTCTAGCTACCTGGGTCGAGTTGATAATTGGATCTTATTTTTTGGGGGGTTACTTTTTGGAAAAACAAAACGAGAAGTAGATGCTTATTAACACATTGCATATCTACATTGTATCCACAGTATATATAATAAAGGATTTACAAATATAGTTGAAAGAGATTGATCTTGATTCATGGTACTTGAAGAACTCTAAAGGATTTGATAATTGATTCCCTTTAAATAGACAATATCTCCAATTTGCATCGTCTTCCAAGTGTTGTATTAGACTTAAAAGAGATACTTTCCTATGGAAACATTGGCATAGGTCACAAGTATAAATCATTTGTAGTGGGAGTTTTAATAAAGAAGATAGCAAAAGGATTTTAGCGGTTGAATAACTTACATGAAATTACATAATCAATAGTTTTGTTATCAATGTTGTATAACATGTTTATCTTTCAAACAATTTAACATAATATTATGATTTTTTTTTTTAATTTAGTCAAATTTGAATTTTTATAGAAAAAACATCCATTTCACATAATTTATGGTTAAAGAGAGAATAACTAGTTCATTCGAATTATAAGATGCAAAAAATTGTTCGGAGGCAGTAGAGCAGTGCTTCTCAACGAGGGAGGAATTGGACGACCATTGGGAGGAATTATTACAAAGGGGGGAGGGGGAGACTCCTATTGCTGCCATTTCCTTCCACGTATGGTGGAGTGCGGGTCCAGATGTGTTAATGATGTACTCACAAAGAAACGTGATTCGTTGAAGATAACTGAGCTGGATGTACCACGCACATATTGAAAATCGGGTTCTCTCTTGATATGTTGAGTATGATTTTATTCTATTCATGGTTAATCATCAAGTACATTTTTTGAGTGAAATACATTTCTAAATTATTGAAATATTCTGGAGAGGAATAGATCTTGAAAAACTTTTTCGATGAGGATTGATCTCATTGAGGTTGAGAAGCACTGCTATGGAGCTTTTTTCTATTTACACCGGGTTTTCGTTTTTGCGTCATTAATTGCTTTGTTTTTTGTTTGTTTGTTGTTTTTTTTGTAGGGGGGGGGGGGGGGATTTATATAAGGAAACGATTATATTACGATAAGTTACAGAGACTTACCATTTTCGCATTTGTTCCAAGTTAACAAGTTTAACAACCATTGCTGTGTACTATCTTTTTCATTTTCTTTAATGTTTCATTTGTTTTATCAATTGTCTGTAGATCTCTTCCAGTTAACGGATTGCCATCTGAGAATAACGTATAACATTGTTTTATATCCTTTTGTAGTATACCAAGATCAATGTTTCTTTTCTCAACTGTGACAATCAGGTTAAAAAATTTCAGATATAAGAACAATCGTTTCATTTCTGCCTGAGCATCATTCAGTTCCTGGTTACTAAACACCATCCTGTCAAGACTTAACCATTCAACAAACTTCTTAAATTCTTTATTAAGAACATCATATTCTTTATATTTAGATGCAGACAAGGGTTGGTGATTTTCTGCAACTTTTTTAAGTTTAACAAGGAGTTTATCTATTTTGATCAGAACTTCTTGTTGATTTTGAATTGCCAGTAGATGGTTTTCAGTTGATGCTACAGGAATGATCCGTACCAATTTCAGCCAAGGACTTGACACTGCTGACGTTCCTAGTTTCCTCAAAGCCCTTAGTTGTAATTCTCTTCTCAGCTTTTCAATGGCTGTCTTATTTCCAATGTAGGTCTGTTTTACTTGGTCAACGCTTTGCAAAACACGATTTATTATGGAACCATATCGAACACATTTTCTGATTGGAGTCTTACATTTAGGACAAGTTTTCATCTGAATTGATATTGTTTCTGAGGAAGATGTACCTTCTTTCATCCAGTTATCGAGACTTTCATATTCAATAACGTGACCACAGTCTTTGAGCTGTACAAATCTAGCATCCGCTTCATCTTCTGTGCCGAAAAATATCTCAGTAACTTTATCCTTGTGGCAGATTCGGCAAAGATTTGGACATGGTTCTCCACAAAGCCCAATACATTCATGACCGCATTTTAATATTTTGCAGCAAGGATGATTACATGGTGGTCGGTCACATGGCTCAAAACATTTTTTACCACAAGTAAAATGCTGGCATTTCCAGGCGCATGGTTCTTTACATGTAATACAAATTTCTCCACATTTTTTCTTGCATTTACTGTGCTCACATCTGTTTGCACATGCCTTCTCACATGGTGGACAATACGAACATTTAGATTGACATTTGTGATCACATATAAGATTCTTGGTACATCTTTGTCCACAGGGTTTGTGAAGTCTTCCGGAAAAGCAATCAGAACAGGTTCCTGTACATGGATGGCCACACTCTAATACTAATCCACATGGTTGTCTACAAAAAGAGTAATCAAATTGTTCGCATACAATATTTCCTATATGACCACACGGCCAATTCTTTGCAACTACAGCTTGGCAGTTGCGGATGAAGATTGATTCAGAACATTTGACCCATTTTGTATGTCCACAGACAGGGATTGTCTTTTCAACCTTAATTTGACAGTCTCCGCATTCTTGGTAACATTTTTTCTCACAGGGATGACCATCTTTGCAAGTTTTGGTGCATGGTTTAGGACATGAATATTCTTTATGGTCTGGATCTGTAGGATGGCATGTCATGATACAGGAATGTCCACACTGAAGTCGAGCATAACATAGTTTCTGACATCCACCATGTGGGACCATATCAAAGTCTCCTGGTGTAGTAATTTCACCGGATATCTTAAGGATTATTGTTATCTCCTTCCATAGAGAACTTTGAGATGCCAAAATTCCAAAATTACCAATAACATACAATCCTTTCCGAGCTCTGGATAATGCTACACAAACCCTGTTCTCAATCTTCAAAAATCCTATGTTTTCTTTAATATTACTTCGAACCAATGACAATAATATGATATCATTTTCCTCGCCCTGGAAATTATCTATTGGTGTTATACGTATACCTTCAAATCTGTGTTTTGGCATTACTTTCTTCAATTGATGTATTTGGCCAGAATATGCCGTAAGGACAGTTATTTGTTTTTTGTCGTAGCCTTGTTTCAGCAAATAGTCAGTCAGTTTAGATATAAACTCTGCTTCGTAGGAGTTTGAATGACTTCTCATCTCTTCATTGTGCTGCTCTTCAAATTTGTGATCTATGAAAAAAATATTTTTTGCCAATCCCTTTACGTTATCAAATGTTCTGACAGAAAAGTGGTCCATCAAGGTAGGGTATATTGGTTTCATCAATTTTGATATTTCGGATCTCATTCTATGCTGAATTTCCAAGCAATCACAGTGGACCCCATTTTTCAACATTCTTTCAAATAATGATATTTGTAAATTGTATTTGACGGCAAGATTAAATACGTTAGGATTTGGTCTTAATTGTTTATGATCACCAATAAGTATTAACTGTTCACATCCAGCATTTAAACTTGTTATGACGTGACCTTCTAACACTTTTGCGGCTTCTTCGACCACGATAATTCTTGGATTAACTTCTTGCAGAATCCTGTGATATTTAGCAGCACCTGTGGTAGTCATGGCAATAACTGTGGCCTCGGTCATTATAATTTTATCTTTTCGAAGATTAACTTCTTTCATTGTTTCACATTTAGTTTTATACCTTTCTCCCAGCTCTGAAATCGTTTCTCTGAGTTTATTACAATGCTCTGACACCCAGTATCGATACAATCGCCAACGGCTATTGATGTCGATTTTCCAAATATTCGCGATTCTATCAACTTCTGCTTTGGTCAATTCGGATCTTGAATTTATTTTCTTGCGTACATTTTGCTTCAAATTTCTTTTTTTGTGTGACGTTACTTGAAATCTATCTTTCGGTGCTGTTTCATAGTCATTTACTGCGATGTCTAACCATTCAAGCATAGGATCGTCTGTTTCAAATAGCCTTCTTTCGTAGAAGGACGATGATAGCTGCTCTCTGTGAGCTGGAGACATTAGCGGGCCCAGTACATTTTCTGTTAGAATTTCCCCAGTGGCTTCCTCTATTCTGCATCCAGCACTCTCAATTTGACTTTTTAATTCTAAAATTTCGTTATTGTTCTCAAACTTTATTTTATCCAAATCACTGAATTGCTCCCTTCCTACGAATGTTTGTTTTTGAATTGAATAGTTTTCGATCTTCCTGCTGCTAATACGACTACCAACTCTAACTATCTTCCCATCGTAAAAATTACTAATTCCCTCAAAAAACTGATCTAAGGCATGATTAGTATAACAAACTATTAACATTGGTCGTTTGATCTCGTCATCATAGTTCCATGCACTGGAATTATGGAGTAAAGCTTTCACGATTTTTAAACCAACATACGTCTTTCCTGTTCCAGGTGGTCCTTGTATTACAGAGAATTCTTTTGTTAGAGCTGTCTGTAGGGCGGCGAATTGTGATTCATCCACGTTTAGTAACTCATGGTTAGGCCAGCTCTGTATATTCAACAAGTTAATCTTCTCAGCAGGTTTAGACTTGCCACTGAACTCATAATTTCTTTTCCTTCCTTGTCGTCGTAGGTTGTCGTGATCTCCTCGTAATGTAACCTTTTCATCAACAAGTGGTCTTAAATCAAGAGCTGGACAGTCTAGTAGATATCTGGGGGGATTAACGGACGAGTTACATTGGACAATGTATCTCTCGAAGGGAACATGTTTAATATCCTGAAGACCTTTAAGAACATGTTTATATGCCTCGTAATATGCTGTTGTTTCAACCATGACGAACTTTTGATCTGGTGTTATAGCATCAATATCATTAAGTTGATGCTCAAACTTGACATCAATATAACCATCGGCTAGTTTTTTAGCATCTCGATCACAAACAGTGGCAATGTAAAAAGTTTTGAACTCATCAGAAGAAAGACAAACAAGTGAACCAAATATTAAACGTTTAGAGATCTGCCAGTTAACCTTTTTCATTTTTGACACATCGAATTGCAGCCGATACAAAAGATCAGTCCGAGTGCATATCGATCTGACAACAGATACATCCGTGTAAACACGAATATCTGAAAATCTATGTCGCCCATTGTTTTCTCCACGAACCATTATCTGGTATTCTTCTATTCCATTACGTAGAGGTTGAATAAAATCTTCCCTTAACAATCTGAATTGTACATCTAGATAATCGCTTGAACTGGCGTAGCCTCCTTTTACTTTGTTTTTCCTTAAAAATGGTTTTGTGCTGGGGTCAATGTCTTCCATTGTTGGTAATACAGAAATGTCACGAAAGTCATCAGGAGGAGCAAGCTCTTCAGGGGAGTCTCTATGTTCATCTGACAATCCTCTATTTTTAATGTTGATTAAACGTTTGTCCTTTAGATCATGAATTTCTTGATATATCTCCATTAGCTCATCATCAATTTCTGTACGAGTTCTTAAAGTGTCCATAACTCCTTCAATTAAAGTAGTAAGACCTAACAAATTCATGTTGACGCACGCAGAAGGAATATTAAGGATGAGAGCCAAAACTATCTCACAAACGTTTTTAAATATTTTTTGTGATTCGTCGCCATCTTCATCAGTATCAGTTGATATTTTCATCAGGAGATCAGGAACGCCTATCGTAAGAAACGGTGAACTGATTAACTTAGTTAGAATGTTGATCTTATTCTGTGGGGCTGTATTACATGTACATCCTTTGGCTATGACAGATACAGTAAGTTTCACCATGTCCACATTTTGACGTGGTAAATTCAATAGTTCATACAAGCCACTACTCCCATGTCCTAAAGAAAATAGTATAAACACCGACTCCTTTCCCTCATAATATCGCAGTGTATCAAAAGTTAAAACATCGGATTTCCTGTCTTGGTTTGTATCGATGTCATCAACCTGATTTATGTGAGATATTCTGCATTCATTTGCATGTCTTCTTCTTCTCCATTGCCGATTAGAATTCATTAGCCCGTGGTACTGGTTGTTGTCTCTTTGTCCTATATTAAACGGTTGGCTTAACTCTCTATTTCCAAGATAACATCCTTGATCTCGCTCATATTGTGGACATGTTGGCAATCGAGTCAAATTTTGGTTTGCTCCTCGATTACCACCGCCACTTCGCTGTCGAGTATAACCACGCACAGTCGAATCACGACCTCTTTGTTGGCTTTGACCTTGGTTTCTGGTATGAGTTGGTATTCTGTCATTTACTGAATTTTGATCAGCTCCTTTATCAGAATCATCATCGTCGCCAAGGCTTAAACGATTCAGTAGCCGAGATATCATTTTAGTAGGTACCTGAAATAAAAAAAAAATCCGAAATATACAAAGTGATTTTACTATTAGTGCATGAATGTTTTTATCATACAAAAAAATATCAACCGATGTCAAAAGGGTAAATGGTAGTTGGTAGTAATCGTCTCTTGACAATAATTTCGATGATATAATATATACAGTGGTGTAACCTATTTTCGTGGATATAAGGATCAACACCGAATTTCGTCAAAGTTATAAAAAAAAGATTTTTTTTTTTATGTCTTAGATGTTTCCTCGGATATTCTACAAAATAATTAAAATTGGTTTATTTTGATTTTCTTTATGAATCCTTCACTTTGACCCATTTTCCATGAGCAACCAACTCGGCAACGGCGGCAGAATGCGTCATCTATTTTCGTGTACAATGTTTGGTCTATATATAAGTCGAGAAAAACACGTTGTATGGATACCCAGTGGTATAATTAACCTCTCTTAGTGTTTATCTTTAATATCAATTCATTATAACTAGTGACAAGTCCTTCAAAGAACCACGATTTAAAAAAAAAATAGTGACTGACAAAATAAGATACGTATTGCTAAAAGTCACGGAAACAACATAAGAATATGGCCCACTTTGTGTTCCATAGAAATTTTCTGCTGACACGGAATCCGTTAGTTGATCACGTGACTTCATTCGTTGGATTATATTCTAGCAGACGACACTTGGAATTCCGATTACCGCTTGGGATTATAAGGAAATTCGGCCGATAAAAATGGTGACGTTTGGTAATAACTGAAATCCGCCATTTTGTATTTGTGAAGTATACATTAATACATTTTACCTTGCTTGAAACTACTGGATTCATTCTACTAGCTGATATTGTAGAGAAAACCCATGTTTATTAAAACAAGCAAATGCGGTGGTCACGCGAGGTCGCACATGTAAATTATTAATCCTTTCCGGAAATCCACGAAATTAGGTTACTTGAGACAAAAATATTGTAAAAAAAACTCAAATATAAAAAAAATTACGAATTTCAAGTTTGTTTTAAAAAAATGTTGTTATATATCATTGTAAAGAGCATGATGAGCACATTACGAATTCGAAAAAATTAACCCTTTAGGTTATTTAGGTCACGTGCTAGAGCAGTCCAAAGTTGCGAATTTGGCTGGGTTTTTTTTTAACATCTATAAAACCGGAAGTAGATGACCCAATAAGGTCAAGGTCATCAAAGGTCAAGGTCATGAAATATGAGCCTTCAAACTATGACAAAGTTCAACCGGAAATTGCATAAAAGCAAAAGCGAAATTCAAATATGTGACATTTTTTTTTTATTTTCTGTGTTCTTTCATTTGAGATCAAAATCATCAAAATCGACGCATTTCAGAATAATCAAAATGGCGACCAAAGTATCATGTTCGGACCGGATTTTATCTTCTCCGTGGTTTTGTCATAACGTTGGCTATCGATTTTATAAGTTTCGTCGAGCTAAATTAATTATACCGGAAGTAGTTCAACCGGAAGTGAAGTAAAATATTTGTCTATAAAATTTTATTCACTTTCTTGAACTGTGTTTGCTCAATTTTTTTTAGATTAATCAGACAAAAAGCTAAACATAGGCTTGCGGCAAATCTCGCAAGCGAATACGCCCACCAGCAGCTTAATAAAGAGCTTAATGTGAGCTGTAAAACAAACTCTATATCGTAGCCTGTAGAGTGAGCACGGGCCACAAATTTCGAATTTCGAATTTTTAAGTGCTTTTATATAAGAAGTTACATGTAGATTCTAGAACTGAAAACCCGAAGAAAATCGACCCAAAAATGCGACTTTTAGGGCCGATTTTTTTTTTATTTTTTGCACATGCTGAGCACGTTGCCACTACAGGAGGTTTAGGAATGTTGAATGGTTGCTGTAACTACTGCAGTCTGGGCACAGGACGGTGTGTAAATTTCGAAAAAAAAAAGAATTGACATTTCGATAACAAACTGGGGCTTTGCTCTAGCACGTGACCAAATTAACCTAAAGGGTTAATTTTTCGCATACTTAATGTCCTCTTCATGCTCTTGCAGAAGCAAAGTCCTAGAATTGACATTTCGATAACAAACTGGGACTTTGCTCTAGCACGTGACCAAATTAACCTAAAGGGTTAATTTTTCGCATTCTTAATGTCCTCTTCATGCTCTTGAAAAAATCAGTACCGAAGCAAAAGAGATTATGCTAATCTTTGGCATTTGTCAAATATGTTATGGGGAAGCAAGCTGTTAAACGTTGAGGTCGTCAAAACATTTTGTGCGTTCACGTATACATTTATCTGCATATGGCTCATACGTCACTAATATTGACGTAGGTAGATGTATTTGTCGTGTTTCACACTTAGAACTAACAGCCATTGTTTGATGGCGTAAAACACATTGGAGATAAGTTTGGCATAAGTTTAAAGCACTCATAAGTTGAATAAAAAATTTGAGAATGGTCCACGTCTGAAAGACTACAAGTTACAATTTTTTTTCATACAATCTCTTACACGACGTATTCCAGAGTGCTTGAACGTATTTTTTTTATGATATACAAAACTTACCCATAGCATAAAAGTCGAATACAACTAGCTTACACGTCTTAAATGTTTGACAGTGCCCTTAACTATCGAAAATGAATTACCAGTGATATATACAGACGTAAAAACAGTGTCTCAACTACCACAGGGACTGGTTGAACCATAAGGGGTCCCCAACCTCAATACATATACCAAAGTATACCATGACCATTTTACACTTAATTAGCTACTCCAGGATTGGTTGGTCTTGATCAATTCGTCCTTTTATTTCATTTTTATCTTGTTTTGTTATATTCTAATGTTCCATTCAGCTAGGTTCTCTTATACTGAGTTTTACTGTATTTTTCACTAAAGGGAGATAATCATGTTGAAATTCACCTTTAGATAGGACTCACTCCACTAATTCATTTGCCATCTCTTCCCATGTTAAAACACGAAATTCAACCTTCTACAACTTTTTCCAGAAATCTCGTTGAAAGCTTTCTAATATGTCGAGTGAAAGCCTGACCAATCCTCAATGTCTCCTAAAAAATTCATTATATGATGACCATGAAAATTTGGAGCTACTACGATTGAAAGTAAACTACTACCGGTCATACTCCGCTAGAGTTTGGCACTTGACAAAACGACTATTTTTAGAATTAGCCTTCCGCCTTTAAGTCTATCATTATCTCACTAAATCTTAAAGATAATGCAATTTCAGACATCAAATTTCGCTTGTACTCTGAACTGGAACACAGAATTGATAGAAGTCTGAAGGAACAGGCTCCCTATGTAAGTAGGGACGCTTACATAGTTAGAAAAAGATTAGGGGGCTTTTGAATGTAAGATACTAGGTGTTAGTATCCTTATCTACTGTACCGATACCCGTTTCCGCTCGACGGGTACTCAACTGTTTGTACTTTGTTGGAATAAAGTATATTTTGTTGTCAAATGTGAATTATATATGTCTCTATGTCCTATATTTTGGTGTCTGCGGGTAACAATACACTTGTAATCAAACTAAGCTGTAGCAAACTGTAGCATTAAATACAAAAATATTTAAATCTTCCATTAACAGGCATTAAAATGACTTGCAAAGGGTCTCAAAATGCAAGAGAGCATATGTTAAGAAAATTTCCAGCGGGATGGTCACTAACCCATTTAAGTACACAATGATCTTGTTGAGCCACTGCGTAAAAAAAGTTCATTGAAACTTTGCAGATGAATCGTTAACATTTGTGATAGGAACTTGTATCTTATCTTATCTCTTTTATCGAGATACGCATCATTAATGTCAGCCCCTTCCCCTCAATGGCAGAGATAAGTTTGTATTTGAACGAATACTAATAAATGGCTAGTTACTTACTTAAAAGAAAATTTAAAAGAATTATTCTAAACCTTAATATATATCACACCAATTGCTTATTTAATCAAAACCGTGATATAAATTGCCCCACTTTAAAATACTTTAAATAGAGAAACACAAAAAAATTCTACTGATTTTCAAAATGAATTCAAAGATTCATGTAATAGGCCTAAATGAAAAATATAAAACCAAATAAAGAGTAAAATGTTATTCCGATAGAAAAGAATTAGATAAATTTAGTAAGTGCATATGGGCCAATATTTCTAATGTAAAAGCTATGTAGTGAATGTGTTCTTACCTGACTATATGGATTTAAAACATGGTTATGTGCCGAACACTCAACTATTCTTTGCTTATTGAGTAACTACGGTTAACTAATAATGTCTTATGATAATAATATTCTTGGAAATAACGATTAAATTTTTGTAATATTGTTCCTGGTAAGTCGAATAGTCTCGATTAACAAACAGAGTTTTCATGAAGAAAAAAAATTCTAAAAATCAAGATTTGTTAACTTTCGTTTTCTATTAAAAATATTCTCTTGGAAATTACGCATTATTGTCGATACTTTATATTAAGAACAAAGTATAGAATGTAGGCAACTTGATCTAAGTTCAATCGTTAGTTCTTGTGTCTCAGAGCGTTTCTAGGGTGTATAAATACACTGCATCTGTCTTCTAATAAATGTTTATGTGCATCCAGATCAATTATTTCCAAGTATATTTTCTTCCAAAGGCTTACTATGAAAAAAGGTCTAATATGTATTTTTGTTTTAAGTAAGCCTAGGAATTACCACAGAAGTCAGAAAACATATCTTTATTGTCACTTAAAAATGATCTGAGCTAATAAACTTTGAAAGGTTTGTGTTGCCTAGATCCTATCGAATGGCGTATAATAACAATGAGACCTTATGTCATGCGACAACACGATACTTATACACTAGTAATTTATAAAAGGTACTTCTCGTGTTCTTAGCTTATTCATAGATAAATACAGTATTCATTCTAATTGAAGCCCGGGGGCTAATTGATTTCTGTATTCTGTATTATAAGAAGTTCTTTGATTAATTTTATGTGGGCATTGGTTACTATAAATTATATCACATCAAGTTGTTCGCGCGACAATTTAGTATGAAAAGAGTGCCCTTGTTGAAAATATTATTCCGCTTTGAATTTATCATAACACTTGCTATCATTAGCAAAATTACCTAGTTTATACAACTTGTCATAGATTCATCAAAAGAATACTTAACATTCATTTTATAACATTCATTTTATACAACTTTATGTAAAATGAACAACATTTATTTGTGTCATCTGTACAAATATATTTTTGATAAAAATTACGCGCCAACAGATCTTTTTATACATGTGAATTTGCTGACACCTGGAATCTAAAAAATAGTATTCTTCCACCCTGTGATCTATTTAACAGGTTATCAGTTTCCATCATGCATGGTTAATCGACAGATTATCGATATATAATAATTGGCTAATCGAATGGTAGGTAAGGTTAAACAGATTTCAACCGATATGCTTTTCAATTATGATTTTTAACTGATTCCCCATCCCTACACCAAGGCCACCTGTTAGATCTTTAAATAGTGTAGTGTATTAGTTTATTACCGCTAGTTGTCATCGTGATAGGATTTATAGTTCAGTGTAACTGAAGTAAAAAGAATTCCCTGAGTTGGAAACGGGTTGAGGCGTTTGTTAGGTCATGGACTTCAATTGGAATGAATACGGTAGGTAACAGTCACACAAAGAACATAATACAATATATATACATTATGATACAGTATAAAAAAAGACAATAGGCCGACCAACTCTAGTGTGTACTGTACATATTCCAGTGCGGTAAACAAAACACCTGTATTACATTCAACATGAATATATAGAGACCATGATTGAAGTAAGACATGATGACATAAAATATTGATTTAGATATTAACATATAAGACCTAACAACCCACTGCTGTTGCTGCTATTTAATTTTTTCCATTACAAACTACTGCGCAGTACAATAACATTTACTAGTAATACATATTCAACCTTTTCATACAACAGCAGCTCAACTACCATAGGCACTGGATGAACTAATTACACCGGCCCCAGCCCCAGGGATTCCCGACTATTGACAATTTGCAGGAGAGACTAACGAAATGGTGATGAGGGTCCCACTAAGTTCACAAGCCTCCACTCATCTAGTTTGAACCACTGCATTACGCTTTTTAGGTAATAACGATCACTATATTATATGACCAAGTTTGGTATAACTCCTTAAAAATGGTGCCTTCTGGAGTGATAGCTAAAATATTTAAAGACCAAGGGCAATAACTTATACTAAATGATTTTCAATTTTTTCAATAGGGTTCATTGAAGGTTCATAGTGCCTAAGAAGAACTAAGGCAATAACTCACATTAAATATTTCTGAATATTTTTGAATTTTCACTAAGGTTAACCCTTGTGTATGCCTAATAAACACTTACACCAAGTTCCCTCAAAATCAACAATTGTGTCTTCTAGAGGGTTTACGAGCAATCGTGGACGAACGTACCGATGGATGGACATGGGTTACCCTAATATAAGCTCTTATTGCATGTGAGCGTTTAAAAAACGGACTTGACTAACCAATTTTAATAGTTCAAGGGAGGTAAGTGATAAAAATATCTATATGATATGGACTCGCTCCATTCATTTGCCACCTCTTCCCATGTTAAAAAACGAAATTCAACCTTCTACAACTTTTTCTAAAAATTTCTTTGAAAGCTTTCCAATTTGTCGACTGAAAGGCTGACCAATCCTTAAAAAATTTAATATATGATGACCATGAAAATTTTGAGCTACTATAATTGAAAGTAGACTACTACCGGTTATACTCATCCGCTAGAGTTTGGTAGTTCACAAAACGACTATTTTTAGAATTCGCCTTCCGCCTTTAGGTATCTCATCATCTCACTAAATCTTAAAGATAATGCAATTTCAGACATCAAATTCCAAATCTAGACCAAATTTTACCCCAAAATAGGCAGGCAAAAACCCCAAAAGGGAGAGAGAAAGAAGATTTCTAAAAATAGCCTGGACTACATTCGCATACATATACAATAATTTGCATAAAATGTTTTAGTGGAATGAGTCCTGTAGCCAATTTTTTTTTCTTGTTTTAATTTGTTCTATAACATCTGTGGAGCAATTATCGTAATGGGTGCTTTGAGTTTTAGATCCCAATCACCCTTTCGCCACTACCACATCAACGGGAAATTAAAAATTGCACTTAGTTCGGTTTAATTTTCATACCACGAAAAGAAACTTTCAATTGGGTGGAGATTTTGGTGACGTTAATTTTGATTATGGAATAAACTTTTAGAAAAAGTTATGTTTTATTTTTACATAATTCTATTCCAAATATGCTCAAAACAACAAAAATATTCAATTTCCAATATGAAACGGGCGTACAATAATAAAACATAACGTAAGCTTGAAATGCATTAATCTTATCATGATCAGGATAAGTTACTTTCCTTTACTATCTTCAGTCGTTGGTGTCATGAAGAATGAAGGAACCTTCTGAAACCTTTAACATTTTTCTGGATACAAGATGTGTGCTTCCAATCTTGGTGAAGACTGTGAAGACACCCCAAAAACAGCAGATTCCGTTGGATGTAGTGGTGGAACATTCGTCAATTTTTTTCTACATTTTTTATTGATTTGCAAATGTCCAATTTGTTTATTGTAAATTGATATAAAACAACGAGCATTATGAATTATTTTATTTAATGTGAATTATAATATTGTCCTACTTTACTAAGAGTTGGGGACCCTTGATTCAATAAATTCCAGTTTTCATGAGAATAACCAGGCTTTTCTCTGGTACAGAACCAGGCGTATTTTTCTACGTAGGGTGAACTTTCAAGACGAGGTAAAATTTGCTTCAAGAAATTGACATTATCATCAGCATTCTTAGCGTGATAACAGGCAAACTCTGTTAGCCAAATCTTCTTATTATATTTATGGTAAAACTTGTTAATCATATCCATGATTTGGTTTGGTTGACAATTGTAAGAATGTAAAGCTAGTCTATCTACACGACAATTATGACAAGCTTTAAAGAATCGATCAAACCAAGAATAACATGAATTGGGAAAATTATCACAACTTGTTGGAGCAGGCGATACTAAAATCTTTCCATGTGCCTTCTGTTCAATTTGTGGCCAGAGTTCAGCAGCCCTTTCAGGTGATAACTCGAAATGTCCATTTCTCCATACATTTGGTTCATTAAATCCTAGAATATGCTTGGCGTTACTGGGAGGGTTAAAGTTGTGCACATCTTTTTCCTGGTGTACCATTGGTATATATTCACCACGAAATCGTTTTGAGCAATGATACATCGTGTCTTTATTAAAATTATCGTGCCAGTTATACCTGTTAAATATATTTAAAGACTATTTAAAGACAGAGAAAACCTGTGTACACTTGTGTATAAACCGCTATGCGGATTTATACAGTGTACACAGGTTTTTTTCTGTTTATACATCGATAAACTGAAAAAATGTTCAGGTCATACCTTAATTAATGACAGTATATCAGAGATAGTATATCCATATATATCTTGTGCTTCTTTACCTGTGCCTTTTTTTATATGTTTAGACAGTAATTAACAATATTACTTGTAAAAAGTTAGCGATATCTGCGATTTGATATTGTCCTAAACTGACTGACTACACAGTAGTTAGCTCCCTTAACATTTATTTTTGTGTCCTTTCAGAGTTCTTTTCTACAAAGATAACGATTCTGTAAAACTGAAGGAAATTCTTGTCACTGTGTCCTGCTTGTACGTTTGTTTCAAGTCAATAACTAATGCATGTTTATCAATACATTTTACGATGTAAAAAATATTTTAGAGTTTAATACTTACCACCATGTTGATGAAGATAGAGCATGCGTATCACCACATTTATACAACGCTCCACACAGTCCAAATCCTTTCTTAAAGCTTGCTAAAACCAATGCTGGGTATAATAGCACTAACAGCGTTATTGATTTAATCATTTTGCTGATATTCGGCAACAACTTCTAAACGGAACGTAGTCCCTGCTTTATATAGGGCGTTATCTTTTCTTATCTATAATGAAGGCCGATGTTTCCATTTAAAAATAGGCCTACAAAGAGTTTTAATCTAGAAATTGGCACCCAGAAATAACTTAGAAAAGATTTAACTCTAAATTGCTAATCAGATTCTAAATCGTTAAACACAAACTATCGTGGAACTGAGGCCCGTCTTTACAAAGTTACAACCAGACAAGTCAGAATCGAGGAGGAATACCTCGGATCATATCTTGGCATGAGCCCGACCAGTTTCTTTACCTGAAGGTCATTGTTTCAATGTTTTCAAGCAACGGATAAAGCTGACTCTTCATCATCACGAGAAAATATTCTGTTGAGTCGAAAAAGTATAACGTTGGCAACGCCAAGTAGGCTTTCTGATTTTAATTTGATTTTTCCGAAATTGTATGCAGACGATTCAAACTTTTAGTTGAGGAAATGTAGTGGTATGAGCAAGAATCTATGGAGGCAAAGTGACTATAATATGGTTAATTTATTTTTTAATGAGAAAAAAGGGTCAGAAAAAAGCAATAAGGGCCTATTTTGGTTTTGTTGTTATAGAAGCACTGGCCAAGGTCACAAGAAGATCAAGAAGAGAACGTTCGTCTTTTACATAAAGTCTCAATTTGAGAAATAAAGATTAAATTGAAATGGTACTATAAATGTTTCGCGCTGCGTGCAAAGAGAAATTATAACATTGTAAATTTGTCTTTCTTAAAAACAGTAACCAAACGTTTAGTGAAAATATTCGCGATGACATCGCTATGCCTTATGTAACATTAATATCATCAAGTCATAAGTGATCTTCACAATTTTCCATAAAAAGACAGCATTTCTTCCAAGGTCAGAGTCGTGGCCTGTGTGAAATACCACAAGTGGACAGATCTAACATGTAGGTTATCTGTAACATTTAACCTTGTAGATAAGACTAAGACTATATTTCATATTTAGTTAATACTGATAGTACTTCTTACTTACTTAAACAATGGTAATGCATACATATCAAATGCTTTAAATGGAAGAGTGGTTTTGGATACTTAGGGACACTCTTTTTTTTAGATACTCTTGTCAACTCCAATAAGGACATGTTTTACGGACAATCGTCATCTTTGTATAACCTGCCCTGATGACGATATGAGAAAACTCCACAAGGAATGGTGTAGTTTACAACAAGAGATATGGTTTCAATGTGTTAATATTCCAAATACTCTTTTATATAACATTAAATGTGATCATTAGTTGATTTCCTTCTGGTAGAAAAGTTAGGTATTGTACGACCAGATGATAAATTAGGAACCGATGCTCGTTTTTTTCTGTGTAATAATCTTCTTGATGAAATCACAGGCTCCACAACCGTAGCATCTCTTCGCTTACCTTTCTTACTCCGGATATTTAATAGGATTGCGTCTGAAAAATAATAGTTATTTTGTTGAGATATTTTATCTATGAAACTGTTCTGATTAAATATGACATGGAAATTATTCCTTCAACCAAGTGAAATAATGAAACATTCATTAAACTGTTGTAACATGGTGTCTCTTGGTGCTGCATAATCTGATCATTATCAAAACAAAACGAACGGCACTGGGGACATATATGGTTAAAATTAAAACCAACTGTGGATGCTCGATGCATCATGGAAACATTCATTCTACTTAGATATTAATCTACTGCTTATAGTTTCATGATGAAATTCAAGTCTATCTACTGATGACTTATTGCATTAGTAATTCGAGTGTCCAAATATTGATATATTTGATTACCTAATCTTTTTTTCTAAAATAGAAGCTGATTCTTCTAAGCTGTTTTCTAATTTAAGTGATAAACTCAGACATTAAGAAGGAGTGTTTTGTAAACGACACCTGTAAAGGGTGGGTACGACAATATGAGTTCTTGAAGTATAACAAAATCCCAAGAATGATGACTACCATATTATATATTGTTTCTATTGATATGTAATTAAAATACGTTTTGGCACTTAGCATAGTTAACTGACAGAACAGAAGTAATGTATTAATAAATAGTACAAAAACCTATTATATATTATTGATGTCATTAGCACACATATAAACAGATGTTAGTCACCTCTGTGTATATAATAGTGCATTAGAATTTTTTCAATGAATTAAGCAAAACACTGTAAATTAACAAAAAATTGTATATTTTTTTGTGACAGGCACACATTAATGACAACTAATAGTCCCGAAACTATAATACTGGTTAATTTTGCACAAGAATTAACCAAAATCCAAAGCTTCTAAGAGATCAGATTAATTTGCAACAGTGAGTAATCTTTCTGTCTTTTTCAGGATTGATGGACAGTTTGTGCCAAGAACCGCTTATCAGTATAGTACTGTCTTTTTATGTATGTATCACCCCCAGCAAGAGATGCTACTTTGTAAATGTTAGTAATGTTATGTAACTTTCTAAGAAAGCAATTAGATCTACCTAATGTGAGTAAAACACTGTTAAATTGAAATTACATTACTTACAAACAACTGTGACGCTGGTCGCAACTGACCAATTCGTTTTATTCTTACTAAAATATGTTATTATCCATTTATTTAATATGTCTTATACTACAGTGAAATCCATTGTCATCTCTATTGACAACAAGATATACACAAATGGCTTTCTCTTTCTTAATCGAAAATTCAATTTTGGTTTGAAAGCAATGGTATCTTTAACTGCGAATAAATATCTTTGTAGACTATATTTGTAATACTACATATGTCATGATAAAAGAAACCGAAATGACAATCCGGTATCCCAGAAATGAAGATCTGCCTTAGAAGCTTAAAATATAACAATATATAATCCTTAAGTATGGACATTTCTGGAACTCATATCTTGTGGACATGTACCATGGGTCCTGATATTAAGCAAAATTTGTCCTCTTACCTCTAGTTTTAGTTTTGGGTTGAACTAAATGGTTAGTATCCACATCTTCACCACAACAACAACATACTTTAATGTTTACTGCTTGCGTCTCTTTAGGAGTCGCCCATTCACCAACAAACGATGGTTCCTTACAATAAGGACATCCAACAGATTTGTCGACAAGAACACCTAAAGAGTGAACAATAACGCATGGCTTAATGTAACGAACGATTAAAACTTTATTAAAACAAACTTTTGCTTGCTTGTCGTTGTAATTATAATTAGCAAAACTCAAATTCCTACCTGTGTAGTCTTTCAGTAGATCATCAATTTCATCAAGAAGTGGTATTAATAGAGTCCACATTGTTGAAATTGGTACCTCGTCTTCTCCATCAGTATCATCTCTCACAGATAGCCTTATGATCCCACCTGATTTATTTCCTTCATCAGCCTCCACAAGTAACCTAACAAGATGCTCCTCGTGTTCAGCATGTATTCCGTTTGCCCAATGAGCTACATATCGTAATTTAAACCCCTTCCTATGAAACCGAACACTGATGATGTGAAATAGCCCAGGTGGAAGATACCTTGGGAACGAATAGTGGATTGCCAAACTTCGTCTATGAGAAATGCTTTCCCATTTACTACTGGAAGTTTCGGGCTGGATTGTACTTCTTAACCAAGGAATAAGATACTCAATGAACTTCTTATTTGGTTTATCTTGATCGTTTTTCTGGTCAACTGTAAATGTTACTGTCAAATCTTTGGGTCTTTTGGTTACCGGGTATCCTATTTCAAAAGCCTCAACGAGTACATTTAGAGCTTTCTGAACAAATGATGAAAGATTATTATCACAATGGAGGTGTGGTATTGATAATATTTTCATTAAATCAATATTTAGTATTCCTTGTGATAACAGATCTCTTTTCAAACGATCAAATTTCGTCTGGCTGATATTCACAGATTTAAACTGATCGTCCATATCATACGTTAAAATTTCACTCGCATTATGATTGTAAATCAGTTTCAAAATATCAAATAACCATTGTGGTCTCAGAAATACATAGTTTTTCAAATATTTATTGTGTCCAAACCAGATAATTTTGCCAGTCTCGTGAAGATAAGTAGTTATATCACGAAGAATATGCTTCATTCCAAATTTTCCCGTTACTTCGTTAATGTACTCGTCCCATGAAAGAACGGGAACTACCAAGGAGTTGCCTCTGTCTTCTAAATAATTTTCTATATTCACCCAAATTGAAGGAATTACACGCATAACATGTGGAAATAATTTTCTATCATTTGATAAACTTTCGATAGCTTTGATCAATTTATCAAAACCTTTATACTTAGCTGCACTCGTTACAATGACATTTGTTTGAACTGAAAATTTGGATCGTAGAAGAAATGTGTACGATTTTAGTTGTTCTGACAATGTTGGGGAAATAAACATTTGTTCTTCTATTGTTTTAATTTTATCTTCAATTAACTTTCTCCTCTGATTCATGTGAGATTTTAACTGATCACATACACTATCACATACTAACTTAATTTTATCAGTTGGAACGAGATCACAATGTGTTGCAACCAGAAGGACTACCAATTTGTTAGTTTTTGTGATCATCCAATCAAACCATGATCCAATCATTTCATAAAAATCAATCTCTCGATACTTTGCCATGTTGAATGTTAAAATAGTTATTGCCGACTCTTCAAAGAAAACATAATTGGGATAATTATAATATGAGTGTCCACAAAAATCCCATATATTGAGCTGAAGCTGTTTGCCTGGACATCCGTCTTCCACATCATAATCGAAGGTCGTTTCAAAACTATTAATACCAGCTGATATCTCATCAACGTCCCTCGTAATCCTAGACTGTTGATCAACAATACTTTGTACCAAACTGGTCTTACCACTACGATGCGAACCTAGCACCAAAATTTTAATTCCTTGATAGGTTTTGGCATCAATTCTAGTTTCTTGGAAAAATTGTGATACAGATTTTAAACCACTCTCACAAACTGATAATGGAGGATAGGAAATAGGATTATCCCGAACATCCAATTCCTGATCTATTTCAGGATCAAGTTTCTTTATTGCGTTCCATGAAAGCACTTTTATATTGTTGCTGGAAATATCAAGCTGATTTGTCATCTGTAGCAAATGGGCTGGAAACTTTGTCAAGTTATTGTTTGAAATATCTAACATTGATATCCATTTTTTATGATGAAGTTGGACATTAAATGATGGAATTTTGCTAATGTCATTTTGACTAGCATTAAATGCGTCTAAATTCGGCAATTTAAATACCTCCGGGTTAAGCACTTTAAGACGGTTGTTCGATATATCAACATCAGAGAGTGATTGTAAATGCCGAACATCGTGAGGTATGTCGGTAATTCGATTGTTATTGCAACTTAATATCTCCAAATGTATTAAATTAGAGATTTCTCTTATCACAGATGAAAGTTTATTACCGTCCAGAACTAATATTTGAATTTTGCGTAGTTTGTCGATGCCATTTATTGCTTCTAAGTTATTGTTTCCAAGATCTAATCGCGAAAGGTTTTTTAGTTTTTTCAGACAAGCGGGTAATTTTGTCAATTTATTACTATTCAGACGTAACTCCACCAGACTTTCTAAATCTGCAATAGCGTCTGGAAAACTATTATCAACGAGTTCGTTTTCACTTAAATCCAACTTTCGCAAATGTACCAGATTTGCTACAAGACATCCTGGAATCTTTTGTAAGCGCAGACGACAAAGTTGAAGTCTTCTTAATGTTGAGGATAGATGTTGAACATTGTCAACTGTTTCTTTACTTATATCTAATAAACGTAGAGACACGACACGTTCACTTCCTATTGGTGTTGGCAATCTTCCTGGATGTAAATGTCGTCCTTCCCTATATCCAATATGAGAGAGTGGACGATCTCCATACGGACCATGGTACGGAGTCTCCGATGGTTCTACTACTGATTTCTTTTTTGTAAGTCTCTTTGAATGATGTCTTCGTTTTACATGAGACATTTTAAGAAGGTATTCTCAGGAGACACATCATCTGCAAAACAAAAAGTGTATTTTAGTATTTCTATTTTATATCCTTATCACAAAACAACGAGCACACTTACTATTTTGATATTGTACCTATGTTTGACTAATTGTATCAAAAATAGTTGATTAATGTTTAAGAATTAATTCGGTGTCAAGACTATTATAAGAAGTGCTATCACTAAAGTGGAGTCGTCATACTAAAAATCAATAACCAAATGTAAATCCACATAAATGTTTGTTTCTATAAATTCTTTGTGAAGCTTAGCTTTTCTCATGCTAATGAATCGAGAAATTAACAATATAACAATGTCTTCTAGTTGATTATAAATCAAACTTATTCAATTAACAACCACCAACCACTATTTTATTAATCAATCACAAAATCAATGAAGAAGGACCTCATTGTCAAACTTTAGTGATTTTTTTGAAAAATATGCTCATTATGTTGTCGAATAATAATCAGAGTATACTTTTCGGTATATTACTTTGAATAATGGGACGGTTTTTCAGGCGGAACCCTGAACACTATTGTATCAAAGTATCATAAAGTTAACGTTCCTTTTACATGTGGCAAAACAATTACAGTATATGTAATATTATTTATTGTGATCTGTAAGGGACGATATCGTGAAATGACAACTCTTTCAATTTCGATCATACGAGGGAATTGGAAATGTTCCAGAATCTCAAGACATTCTTGTATATGGAACACATATATCGAGAGAAGAATATATTATTTTAACAGTCGGACCAGAAATACAGTACCATTGTCCGTATCAATTCGACTGCCTATATGAAACATTTTCTCACTTATCTTTCCGCTATTAACTGGTCTCAATTCGTATGTCACATCTGATTCCAGATCAATGTGGGGCTAGCAGGATTAGATCAGAACCCACTTCAGATATTATTTCTATACCAAGAGTTATTATCTCTCTAAAGGCACATAAATTGAACTTAGGGTTATCACGTAGATATGATTATGAAATAAGTTCCAACAAGATTACACAAATCAATTTGGATTAATGTGATTGATTAAGTAGGTATAGACGTTTGAGAGAGGGTTAAAAAGTTCATCTTTCAGTAATCAATACAGATTATCCCCTTTTAATGCTTCCTATTATTGCCTTAAAATCATACTTGACCGATAACTTTCATTAATAACTAGTTGGTCAGTCGGTCAAACTCTGAATTTCATCATTACTCTGGACTTAAACTTATACTTATCATATTTTCTAACCCACTCCTAGAGTACACTAGCCAACTACACTACACTACAGACAACTACCTGGGCAAGCTCGGAGACTAACTGATGCCCTCAGTGCAAGGTCATCCGTAAAACCACCAATCGGACACAGGGAGCTGGATCTAATCACCCTGACCACGTACCTAAGAGAACATTTCAAAGAACCATGTCATATCGACAGCGTCTTCTTGTGGTGCAGCCTTTTATCTAAACCAACTTACATCAAGGACACGACCCCAGGGAAAATACTTCTCCATTTTCTGGGACCCCCACTCCAAGAAAAACATACATTTATAGTATTGCTGCGTACGGCCCTTAGTCTACGATAATACACTAATCAAGCCTTATCAGTTGTAAATATTATACTTTATATTTTAATGGACTATTGACTTATCAGTGATTTATAGCTTAAATATACCTTATATATTTAACAATCTATTGGCTCATTAAATTCTTAAATTGGTCACTTCGATAATCTAATCTCGTTTTCTCAATTTAAAACAGATCTTTATTATGAGGATTGAAATCTTAGTAAAATGTATACTTGATTTGAAATTTACTTGTAACGCTGTAACAATGTATCTATAAGTAACGTAGACAACCCCCATTAAATTGATCCATCATGATAATGTCCATATTGTAACAAAAGCATTGCTTTAATTGCAAAAGGCTGCAATGTAAACGTTTAACAGGCTTTCTCTAACACGCAGAACTGTTAAATATCCCTCTAATTAATTGGAATGTTAATTAATTTATTATGGGTATGTTGCCGCGAATAAATTATTCATATTCCTTACGTGTTAAGACTTACGACTCCGTGGGTAGGCTATGCATCTGAGTTATTTCAGTTATTTCGATATAATGAGCATCACTATCCGCTTACTGTCACAGATATATCCATGGGAATAGCTCGCCACAGATCTGATGTTACATTAGGACCGACGGAAAATTAAAAAATCAATAGTCCGACATCAATTTGGCCCAGTTTCCATGAGAAATAGAAACTATAGATTGTCAGATTTTCAGAAACCGCAAAGGCTGGCATCAACCGATATATCAACCAATTACGAAGGTCAAGTTGGCAGCTAATAGCCTAGGGAACGCTAATAACACCATTTTCGAATCCACTTAGTTATTATGAACGGAATTATAACATTTCTTATACGACCACAAAAGGGGCAGTCTGATTTTTAGATATAGGTGCTCAACTTAACGAAAACCATATATCAAAATGTTAGAGATGCGTGTCTCTTACCTTATCTGATTTTTTATGTTTTTGGTTGGTATTGGAAGCTAAATCCGTCGAGAGATAATTCGCCTTCTTATTTTTACACATCTAGTTTTCGTCTGTAATTAACATCGTTTTGAAAAAGAACATTCAGTATAAAAAGTCAGACTGCACTGATGGTTTCCATGTCTTATAGGAATATTCGAGCTACTTGGATACAGTAATAGTCATGATTGCCCATAGTTTAGTAGAAGGACGAAGTTACTGATGAAGGGTCTCATCATGGTCAACCAGACACACCTATATGCCCATTTGATAATGAGGGAGAAGAAATATTTCTGATAATTATATTTGAATGTGGGTGAATTTATTCTGGTGTCATTGGGCATATTATTTGCCTGACATCGTTCGTCTTCTTAGTTACAGAATACTTTTGGTACCAAACCAATATAGTATTAAGTTTGGCAGAGAAGAAGCTGAGCATAACAAAAATATTAAATATAAGTCTAACTCCATGTTTACTTCAGCCAGCCAAAGTTTAACTTTAGTCAAAGTAAAAAAAACATGTTACCGCTTTAGCTGGTATGAAAAAGTTTATATTCTTTTAATAATACTAATAATACTAATGCTTACCCTTAACTGAACATTAATGCTACACTTAAATATTCCTTTTTACTTTACACAACCTTTTAACAAAGTGATACATTTTACAAGTGATGTCTTCAAAAGATTTCAATATTGTTTTTGAACTTTAACCCCGTAGCCATGACTGTGTTGATACGTATATATCTTAAGTCATAGATCTATTACTTTATATGGTTTATATGTGTAAAGATTGACATAGCGTGGCTAATAGACTACCATTGATTTGTAATCAGGGAATAATAGAAATACCTTGATATTTAACCATAGGCTTACTTCATATTATTCAACATGTCCACCCCAGCTATTATACTATATTACTATTGGGTTTCCTAATACCGAATTAATGAGAATAATACTCTAACTTTAAGCCTTTTAAATAGACGAAATAACTGTATACTAGCTTAAAGTTATACTTACAATACACGTTTAAAGAGGGTTCTTTCATAGTACAAAATCATGATGTATTTGGGTGGAAGGTCGACATCGACCTGAGTTTCGGAAGCACTGGAATCAGAATTTTCTAAAATCGAAACTATGGCTGTCATTTCCTGTTTTCGAAATTAGGTAAACCCAATGCCAATCTTATAATGATTGCATTTAGAGAGATTCTATCTTAGTGCTCTATATTCAGGACATCTATTTTGTTGAACATTAGCGTTGTGTTGACCTGCCTGCTTTGTCACCTGATAATTACTGTCTTTCTCTTGCTTTACCTTACTATTACAATGTATTTTGATATCTGCAAACTTCTAACCATTGGATTCTACTGCTAGGTCGATTTCTACAGTTCTATCATAATTTTGAGATGAGCCAGCAACGATGTCACATAATAAAGATACTTGACAAACAGCTCATCCAGTAAATGGTTTCGGGAAGGGCTGAAGTGTTTTTATAGCAATTTGTGTTCAACATTTTAAACAATATTTAATTGAATTCCTTTTGCTTATAAAGGTACATTTACACATTTGTAATTTATATTTTTGGTTATCTAATTGCATATCTATTTCACTTAAAATAGACATTTGTAGAACATTCGATTTGAGAATAAAACTGAAATTTCTAAACTATTGTTTGTCAAAACTCACAATATTAACTATTCATACGGATATTAAAAAAGCTAACGAACAAATGAACATCGTGTATTCACAATGAATAGTGTTTTGTAATAGTAAAGTTCATATTTCATTTCAGTTGATTTTATTTAATGATTAGATACTTATCTTTTTTAAACGTTAATGATGCCTGTATACTATTGTATATTATTAAATTTTGCGTTACAGATGCATGAATGATGTTTACAGTCTCATAAAATGTGACGACATTATCGGCGCTACAACATTAAACATACAGTTAGAGTATCTGTATAAAGTATTAGTTCAGTATTAACAATGGTTGTGAACATTCTGTGTTGGAATTGAACACATTCGTTAAATTTATCTGAATTGCAAGTGTCGACCCTTTGCATTTCAACAGTATTTGTATTGAATACTAGCC